CACACACACACACACACACACACACACACTCAGCATAGGGCATAGAATGGCATTCTTCAAAATGGTGGACTTGGCTTGCTGCCTACTTCCAAAGCACCATTTCCATGAAAGAAAAAGGGAGACAAAGGAAGGTCTTGGTGATGAAACAAAATTAGAACCAGGATTATCAACATGGATCCTTGATTAATAATTATATCCTAATAGGCTAACGAAATCTCTTCTTTCGCACTTGTGCTAGGTAAGTCATTTGCTCCATCTTGATACCCGGGGTTAGGATGGCTTCCCAAGCCTCTTAGCACAACTATCCTTCTTTCATACCTCAGATGAGATATCACTTAATAAAGTTTAAAATGCTACACAAATTGAAGATCAGAATATTGATAATGATGAGAACAAGAAGAAGAAAGAAGAGGAAGAGGAAAAGGAAGAGGAGAAGAAATATAGATGGAAGTAGAGAAAAGAAGGGAAGGAAGAAAGTGACTGGTGGAAGAATCCTGACTGAAGGCCCTGCATCGAGTACAAGGCTGCATTGAGAGAGCCTTGAAAGAATTCACTGAATGCTCTCAAAGGAAAGCTCATTAGGAAACAGGACCAAACATCAACAATTGCTTGTCTGTTCACAGGGGAGATGTTCTTGAAAACTCTGAGCCCTCCTTCTGCTGTCTTAATATACTCTATGGATACATTGGACCTCAAGACTAAATTCTTTTTAAACAGTTTAGTTATAAAAGTGTGAGTCAGTTTCTACATACCCAAGAGTTTGGCTCTAAAATGCCACAAACTCAGTTATTCTCTAGGCTGTACAGCTGCTTCGAGGTAGACCTGGCAGAGTTCCTGGAAATGCTCTGAATGGCACAACAGGCAAGCACTGTGCTGAGACACTTGTTTCTAGTCATTTCCTTCCTTTTGTCCAGAGTCAAAAACCATTTGCAATAGATGGGCCCCTAACAGCATCCCATTCTTTAGTGATTTTTTATTCATTTTATTCTCTAAAACATCTGAATCCGGGCACCCACCAAAGGAAGCTGGCCCGGATTTTTGCTTTTGCTCTGCAGTCCAAACAGCCGGCTCCTCGAGGACCCCTGGTTACATCATTCTGAAGAGGACAAGACACTCCCTCCAGCACAAAGAATCCTCACTGGTGCTCAGGCTATACTATCTATCAGATGACTTCTGTAAACTCTAGGTTATTCATGCTCACCTTGAATTTTCTGGTTCTTTTGCCCCAGTATATAACCAATCAGTCAATAAAAAAATAAAAAATTATGTATCCGATTGATTCCTAGATACTTCTCCTCCATGAAGCCTTCCCTAATTAGCCCTATAACATCACAGCGAGGTGTGTGATAGGGTGAAAGATATGGAGCTGAAAGGGACCTGAGAGGCTGGGCAATCCTAATCTTCTCAAGGAGAACTTGGGACCCAGGTTAAATGACTTGCCCAAGGTCACACAAGTAGTATGTGACTGAGACAGGATTTAAATGAGGCAACTCTGACTCCAAATGCAGTCCACTTTGCTCTTCACAGATCTGTATGCTCTACAGTGATCTCATTTCCTTTGTATCACCCTAACATGTGTATGTGACACATGATTGTACATTTGTTTACCTTGTAGCAAACTCCATTTGCTAACTCAATGAAAGCACTTCCAAGGACTGGACGTGCTTCCTTTGTATGCTCCCTTTCCCTCAAATGACAAGTAAAGAGAAACTTAAAATCATATCTCAAGCTAGAAGGGACTTTAAAAGCCATCTAGGTGGCACAGTGGATAGAGCACAGGCCCTGAAGTCAGGAGGACCTGGGTTCAAATCCAGCCTCATATCAAACACTTGACACGTACTAGCTGTGTGACCTTGGGCAAGTCACTTAACCCCGATTGCCTCACTAAAAAACCAAAAAAAAAAAAAAGCCATCCAGTTCAACCCTTTCATTTTCAGAAAAAGGAATTAAGGTTCAGAGAGGGTAAGACTTGGCCAAGGTCACAAAACATACATCAAAGGCAGATTTTGAACCTGGTCTTCTGTCTCTAAAACAATTCCTCTTTCCACTGCACACATAAGTATTCTTGGCATGAAAACGTTTACTGCAGTTTTTCTCATTTGCCTTTTGTAAGACACTAGCCAAAAGTCAATTACGATCAGGTACTATGGTTTTTTCCCCTAGTCCTTTTGGTTTAATGTCTAATATGCCAGGGGTACCATAGATAAACAAGGAACTTACCTTTCTTGTTCTGATGCCCCACAGGGCAAAACTAGAGGTAATGGGTAGAAGTTACAGAGACAAATCTAGCCTGAATATAAAGGAAAGTGTCCTAATGAAACTGGCCAAAGTAGAAGGGGCTGACTCAAAAGGTAGGGAGTGTGAAGGACTGTGTGAAGGAGATACAGCATACGTGATCTGAAGCTTACATTTCACATCTCTGGGGCTTAGTTTCTTCTGTGAAATGAAAAAGCTGGAGTAGGAGATTTCTGTGGTTCCTTCCAAATCTAAAATTCAATAAACTAGAGTCATGCAAGGATTCAACCACTACTTTGTGAGATATATGTGTGTATGTGCACGCACACACATACATACATACATACATACATACATACATACATACATACATACATACACAATCTTCAAGGTAACAGGATCACAGATTAAAGCTGGAATGAACTTCAGAGATCTTACTTTTGTTGTTGAGTCATTTCAACATGTCCGACTCTTCATGTCCCCATTTGGAGTATTCTTGTGAAAGATACTGGAGTGGTTTGCCATTTCCTTCTCCAGCTCATTCTACAGTTGAAGAACTGAGGTAAACAAGGTTAAGTGACTTGCTCAGGGTCATACAGCTAGTGTCTGAGGTCATATTAGAACTAAGGCCTTTCTGACTCTGGGCTTGGCGCTCTATCTACTGCAGCACCAAGCTGCCCATCTTTCAGTCTAGCTGTTCTCAAAGTGGGGTTCCATGGACCCCTGGGTTGCCTTAAAACCCTTTTGGAGTATTCTTGAGTCAAAACTATTAATACTAAGAGGTTATTTGCCTATTAAAATGCTACTCCTTTTTCCAACTGCACATTTGTATGGGGCTGGATTTTCTTCACATACTTCAGCCAAAACAATATATCATAGATGATTGAATGCAGAAACAAATATAAGAATCCAAATAAGAATTTTCTATTAAGCCAGAAGTTTTAAAAATTTGCAGAAATATCCAAAACAATATCACTTCTCAAAAATTATTTTATTTTGGAAAATACAATTTTTCATAAAAATATATTAAGTTAGCATGTAATAGGCTTATTTCTGGCACTTTAAATTAATTCATAAATATTTTAAATTTGTAAGTTTTAATTTCTAATACGGAAATATTGAGAGCCAGGCATGTGCTGGCGTGGGCTCAAACTAACCTGAGAGCCAAGTGTTAAATTTTCAGTGTGACGTTTATCCCTTGAAAATCAGAAAATGCTACAGATCAGGATTTGATTTATGCTTTGTGGGTTGTCTAGACTTAAGAAAGTAATGGAGAAAATGTTAATAATGGATATTAAACTTAAAAGTGCGTTTTGTGTGTGTGTGTGTGTATGTATGTATGTGTATATATATATATATATATATATATATACATATAAAAGACTCAGTTGTTAAGCATTTACTACCACACCCCTGGCGATAACCCACATAAGCTCTCTTCAGGGACATCAACAATTTTTAAAAGTGCAAAAGTGTCCTGAAACTAAAAAGTTTGAAAATTGTTGATCTATTCCAACTCTTGAGCATCAAGTATTAAAGGAAGTAGATCTCACCTCTCACTCTTTCATTGAAAAGGAATGCCTGAAATGGTGAGAAATCTAGATGTGAAAATAGAAAAATTATGACAGACAGAAAGTCTAAATATGAAAGCCAGAGGCATACCTTATTCAGGTCCCTACCAACTGCAAATGCAATCTAACCATGGAAACTAAGTTAAAAATATGGAGGGTAGGAAGGTTGCCCCTTGTAAACGGTAGCTTTCCGTGATTATTACCAGTCCCATCTTCATTACTAGGGAAAATATAGCTTGAGAATCTCTGATTTGGGGAAACTTTGAAATAAATCATTTTGTCTTAATTGTAGGTATTATAGTGTAACAGGAAGAGCATTGAACTGGTAGTCAAAAGACCAGGGTTCTAATCTTCACCACACCTAATTAATGGTGTGACTTCAAGCAAGTCCCTCTCTTAGGGTCAATATTCTCATTTGTTCCCCATCTGTACAACGAGGGGGTTGGACTAATGAGCTCTAAAGTTTCTTCCACCATTCTAAAATCTCTATGAATCTATAAGTACAGAATACAAGGACAAGCAATTGGCCTATGAGGATTCAGTACAATGTTTTGTAGCTGGAAAGGCATAGGTTATAGAATTTTCCATTAGAAATTATGTTCATACTTAACACTTTAAGGTTTATAAAAACCTTTCATCATCATTGAGGACTTTGGTGAACTGGAAAAGGAGGGACAGTAGGATGCCAGAGGTGCTTCCCATTTCTCCCCTCCCCCTTCCCTTAACTATTTTGTAACTCATTCTACTGCTCCAGGATTCTCTGAGGCCAAAGACAAAGTCTGTTTAACCTGCCTCAATTATCCTCAATTATGCCCTATGCCCTATGCCACCAAACTGACCTTATTCAAACCTGTATCATATCAATCATGCTATCACTCACAGCCTCAAGGGACACCATTTTATTTTGTTTTGTTTGTTTTGTTATTTCTGCCTCTAGCTTCCAACGACCCAGAACATCCAATGAGGGAGCTGGTGTCCAAGGATACACCAAGTGAGGAACCGGAGAGCTAAAGAGGATAGATCATAAAACCTCTGTCTCAAGCCTAGATGGTGGTGGAGGAGAGTTTGGGGAGGGGGTGTGGAGAGGAAGATGTTAAGAGCAATGAGACCTTAGGTATTAGGGAATAAAATTCAGAACCTTTGTGTTTATGTCAGGATGGATCACAGTGATGAATGAGAGAATGAATGAATGGATGAATGAATGAATAAAAAAAATTTATTAAGTGCTGACTGCATACATGTCACGCTCTATGCCAGTGATGAGTCCAGGGCAAAACAGACATTTGCTTGTCATAGACACCAAAGAAGCGACAAAACAAAAAATATTGACTGTGTAAAAGTCATGCGTATTACAGCCATTTATATGAACAGCTGACTAGTGATACGTAATTACCGTGCAGCACAGTGATCATTATGAACATCAATAAATGCACAACAGATTGACTCGGTCATAAGTTTTATTTGAGGGGAACTCAGTAAACAGACACTTGGCTTCATAGTTTGTTGCTCATAGAAGACAATAGTCACACTCAACTTAAACAGTTAACTCAGCACCATAACTACTATTATTATTAATTATATTATTGTTGTTGTTATTATTATTTTTTTCTAACTGTTCTCTATTTAGCCAGGTAACATTTTTTAAATAGCCCAGCTAGCTTACCCTAGATGTTTTCCAGCTTTCTTGCACCTACTCACTGGTACCACTATACTGATTTGTGACGTTTTCACCTGAATGCTTCCTGAAATCCCTATACCTCTAAATCTTGAGGAAAAACAACAATTTAGGGAAGGTAACAAAAAATACTAAGTTCTCCCCAATATATTGAAATGTTTTTATTATCCTGAGAGCTCAAGGAGAGATAGCCAATGAAAACAAATTTGTTCTGTCATTGCAATACTATGGTAGCCCATTAGCACATAAAGAACCGAAAACACTCAGGGGAGAAAAACGTAGTAAACAGTAACTAAAGTATCAGGGGAAGGCTTCTGTTTCCTGTGAGTTCTCTAAACTTCCCAGTTCCTTCTTCTGAAAAAAAGAGCAAGTATTATTTTCTTTTGGGGGCTGTTCTGATGATCACACTTGGAGTATAACTGGAAACTCATAGAGTCAACAAACATTTATTAAGCACATACTATGTGCAAGGCATTTTGGTGATAAAGGGCATTGTGTTGTGCACAATTTTTAAAAAATTTGCTAAGGAATAGAAGTGACAACAAATTATTGGTTCCTAAAATTATAAATAATTTTGAAAGCTTTCAAGATCATTAAACTATATTTTGTTAAGGAAGTTCAAAGCAAGATAGGTACCTGGGAAATAAGCTGTTATAATTAGTTCATTGCTCTTTTGAGTTTAATTACCTAGTTTAAAAAAAAAACAAAACACAGTTGCTAAGTGGTTTCAACAAAATTCCTGTGACATACACACACACACACACAAAAAAAAACCCACAACAAATCTAACACATGGTTAAACTCCAAGAAGCTATTTAGTAATTTTTTTTTAGCAGTTTGTGTTGGTGATTAAGTGGGAGGAGGGGAATTACCAAGTGTGGAAATGAGCTACATGCAAAAGCTAAATGTTTTTACTTTGTTTTGTTTTTAAATAAAATAGTCTTTAAATATGGAGTTCTGTGAAAAACTTAGTTCGGTATCCAAAGTTACGGTACAGTTTCTAGAAAAACCTTGAGTCCTTGCATCATTAAATAAAACAACTAAAAGAAAAGGAGAGGTAAAAAACAGAAAAAAAGTCCACTTAAGGCGTCTGGGGTATGCTCTGATTAGATGAAGTCATCAAAAACGGTTCCTGTATAAGGTATGCTTTAGTAAAACTCCTAATGATCAACATTTCTAGTGAAAAACAATGTTCAAGAGAAAAAAAGCAATCTGTACAAAGGACCATCATGGAACAGGAACGCATAGGGCTGGTCTCACAACCCCCAACCTAGTCAATGGTCTTCTGTGGGATGAATCATGGTGTTTATTCCATCCTGAAGATTTAAAAGATCTTGCACTGGTTAATGGAGAAGAGTTTCCTCCTACTCCTCTTCCTAGCATGATTAACTGCAGTCCGGACAGCACATTCAAAAACCTGTTGCACCCCTCGGTTGCTGAGAGCTGAGCACTCCAGGTAGCCCTTGGCCTTCACCTCCTGGGCCAGCCGTTTCCCATCCACGGAGTTTATACAGGAAGCCCTGTGGGGTCCCATTTCCCTCTGGTCAGTCTGTGTGGCCACCACCAACACTGGGGTACAGGGCAAATTGCTCCGTATCTCAGCAATCCATTTGTTCCTCAGGCTCAAGAAGGAGTTATGGTTGGCCACAGAATAGCACATGAGCACCACATCTGCCTGCTGGTAGGAGAGGGGGCGGATGCTTTTGAAGGCATCATTGCCAGCTGTGTCCCAAAGGCCCAGACTGATCTGGATACCATCCATGAAGACATCTACCCCTGCGTTCTCATACACCGTGGGCTTGTACATTTCAGGGAATGTCTCTGATGTGAAGCGCACCAAGAGAGCTGTTTTCCCCACAGCCGCATCACCCACCAATACACATTTGATGGAATTAAGCATCTTGTTGAGCCTGGTTCTCAGGTATGATATCAGCCCTGGAGCAACATAGACCTCAGGGGGCTGTAGGAACACTGGTCATTCAGTTGTAGGGTGGATGGAAAGGCCAGGTAGGATGTCTCTTCTCACAGTCTCACCACTTTGTGGAATTCCACATCCCTTTTTAAAGTTAGTACAGTCCATTTAATGTGCAGTGGATCCTAGTCTCCTGCCTAGATTAGAAACAGAAGAGAAAATTTTACAACGTTTTATTTTTCTGATCTATTTTGTTAAGACCCTGACAGTACTGACTTTGAGTCCACTGCCTGAACACATATTTCACAGAGGGGGTTTTTGGGCCAAACCTGTAATATTTTTGGTAGAGGAGAGTTCCAATGAGGAAACTGATGAGCAACTGCTCTGTAATGGTTAGTCTTAGAGAGTTTTCCAGGGACACTGAGAGGCACTGGCAATGATGTACCAAGAATCTCCAGGACAGTATGTTGGAGAGAAAAGACTTGATCTGTAGTCTTCCTGGCTCTGGGTGACCAGAAGTAACCCATGCACCATAGAGCTCTTCTATAGAACATGGAGGATGGCAGTGGGAGCACGCCAGACCACGTATGGTTTGGCCACCTCAGCTCTGCGTCTGAGTCACTGCTCAAACTCAGCTACAGTTCAGCAATGCCATTGTCCCAGATCACACTTGAGCTGTCATTTCAGCCCCCGCCCACCCACTGGTGGAAGCGCTGATCAGTTTTCCCACTAGTCCGCTCACACATGACCTATGAAGACGCACGGGTTGTCTGATATGATCTTTGAAACAGCCCAGTGATCAAAGGCCAAGTCACAACTCAGATAACAACCGAAAAAGATCTGATAGAAACCGGGTGTGTGAGGTAGCTTTTTCAGATGACAGTCTGCTTCAGCTCCAAGAAGCAGGGGTGGGGTGGGAGGTGATTGGGGGAGGGGAGGGCAGGTGAGGGGACGGGGAGAGAAGGGGGCTGCGAAATCTCTCATTCTCAAATCAACTTTGGCAACATGTGAGAAATGCAAGGAACTAAAATACAATGAGCATTGTCGTGACTATTCCCTTTCATTAACCAGTTAGCTACCTCCTTCTCAAAAAGAAAGATCCTGAGAAACTAAGGAACTGGATACAATTGACTGTTTATGCTTTTCTGATAAATTGATGCTTCTAGGATCAAACAAACCTTCACTCCAAGTTGGGTGGGTGAGACTCTGATGATTTAAGAACAAAGCCAACTCAACCCTAGTCCTTCTTGAACTAGTCAAGAAATAGAGCTTTCTGTCCCCTGGAGAAAGTTATTGAAGGTTTTTGACCCAAGAGTCATAGAGGAGAAAAAGATCCCAAGGGACTAGTGACACAGAAATTCTTGAACTTTAGTATCTGATTAACAAAGCCAGTATAGTATGAAAAGCCATAGATCAAGACATCAACAAATATTTATTAAATATCTACCATGTGTTAGGCACTGCTAAGCACCACATATAAAAAATAAATAGCTCTTGCCTTCAAGGAGCTTACATCCTAATGGGGACATAATATGCATGTTACATGTATATAGGTGTATTTCAGAAATATTGCAGGTTTTACTGCAGACCACCCAATAAAGCGAGTATTTCAATAAAGCAAGTCATAATTTTTTTGGTTTCCCAGTGCATATAAAAGTTATGTTTATACTAACTGCAGCCTATTAAGTGAACAATACTATTATATCTTTAAAAAATGTATGTACCTTAATTTTAAAATCCTCATTGCTTAACAATGCCAACCATCACCTGAGCCTTCAGCTAATCCTAATCTTTTTGCTGACAGAAGGTCTTGCCATGTTGATGGCTGCTGACTAGTCAGGGTGATGGCTACTGAAGGTTGAGCTGTCTGCGGCAATTTCTTAAAATGAGACGACAATGAAGGCTGCCACATTGATTGACTCTTTCTTTCACTTGAATACTTAAAGGCTATTATAGAGTTATCAATTAGTCTAATTTCAATAGTGTTGTGTCTCAGGGAATAGGAAGGCCTGAGGAGAGGGAAAGAGATGGGGGGAACAGCCAGTTGGTGGAATAGTCAGAACACACACAACATTTATCAATTAAGTATGCCATCTTATATGAGAGTGCTTCATGGTGCCCCAAAACAATTACGAGAGTAACATCAAAGATCACTGATCACAGATCACCATAACAGGTATAAAAATAATTCAAAAGTTTGAAATATTGTGAGAATTACCAAAATGTGACACAGAGACATGATGTGAGCATATGCTGTTGGAAAAATGACGCCAATTGACTCACTTGAAGCAGGGTTGCCACAAACCTTCTATCTGTAAAAAATGCAATATTTGCAAAGCACAATAAAATGAGCTGTGTCTGAATCAGGTAAGTGTATGCATAATACATACAACATGAATACAAGGTAAAGTGTTTTTGGTTTTTTTGGGGGGGATGTTCTATAAGAGCCATATGTCCGTGATAAGCGATATGTAAATTCAATTTAGTAAACATTAAAGTACCTACCATGTGCTAACACTATACTAAATGCTAGTGATCATAAAAATGAAAAATGATACAATAAATGTTGTCAGGGAATTTACATTCTAGTACAGGGGATATGGCATGCACATGAACAAAATATATTTATTGGGTCATATGAGATTCCTAGTATGAATTTTAAAATGTGCTTAAAACATTAAAATATAATAATTACTCCTATGAATGCTAACATTCACTGCAAGGACCTTTCTGCTTTGGTAAATGTGCATTTAATTGTTTCTCATAGTCCCAGTTAAAAAGTTAATCAAATGAACAATAAATTCACATAATGTATTTATTTATGCAGTACTACCACCCTTCCAGCTACCCATATTCACAATATCAATGTTATTCTCAGCTCCTAACTCTCCCTCTCCCATCTGTGTTGTGAGGCTCAAAGGAGGATAAAGGATGTAGAGCATTTTGCAAACCTTAAAGCACAGATATAAATGCCAGTTATTATTGGCTTATAATCACCGGGTCTCCAGTCTGGTGATGACTTCATTCTCTGAGCACTATTCTATAAGCATTTTTTGGTAAAAATTATCCCTTCCACAACCCAACTTTTCCCATCACGGTTTTGATATATTGTGGGTTGGCATAAGAAATTAAATGGGAATTTTTTGGAAGTTTTGCAGAAGCTGCAGATGACATGAGAAGACCAGTAGACAACACAGAAAAAGTTTTAAAACTCAGAAATGCATAATATATATATATGGTATTGTATAATATCAACCCAAATTTTGCAATAAGGTACTGTAAACACTCCATAAAAGAAAAAGAAAAAATTCAGACTTGTCTCTGGTATGAAGGGAGGTCTAAAAAATTTCAAGCCAATTTCCAGATCAAGGGGGTACCAGGTCCTTAACCCCTATGATGTGGAAGGGATAATTATAGAGCAATACAGAAGTGTGCTGGTATATATTTAACAACCCAGCTTGGGATGGGGGTGGCGGAAGGAAACATGCATACACAATTAAGTTTCATTTGTATTATCAACATTTTCTTAAGTCTAAACAATCAATAAAACAATAAATCAAGCCCTAATTTGTAGATTTCTGATTTTTGAAATAAGCTGGTTAGAGCTGTCTCCAGCATATCTCTGCCCTCACGCACATATCCAATCACTTGCCAAATCTTGTCATTTTTAACTTCAAACACTATTCCCTTCCCTCAGCTCACAGGACCACTGCACTGGGATCCAGGTTCTTAACCTCCTCTTGTCTGGACTATTTCAATTGCCTCCTAATTGTTCTCCCTAACACTAATCTCTCCCAACTCCAATTCATTGTCCATACAGCTGCAAAAGTAATCTTTACAAAAGAACAGGGTCACTGCCTTATTCAAACTCCAACACTTCTCTAAACCTTTAGAATCAAATACAAAGGCCTGTGTATACTTAGATGGCAGAGTGATATAGCACTCCAAATACTGGACCTGGGTCCTGGGAGACCTGGGTTCAGAATCTGTCTTTGACACTAGCTTTTGCCACTGGGCTAAATCACTTCACCATTCCGAGATTAATTTTCCTCAACTATAAAATGAGAGGGTTGGACTAGATGTGATCTAGATATGCATAAAATCTATGATTTCATGATCCCATGGATGCGTTGTCACCCCTGATAGAATGGAAGCTTCTTGAAGGCAGGGCTGCTTTGTCTTTATATCCCCAGTACCTAGGCCTGACACTAAAAATACAACATGTACATAGTCTAATAAAAAGTCTTTCTATAAGAAATTCAGATATATACATTTAATCACTGTACTAATTGATTAAATGAATAAAAATAAAACCATACTGAAAGATTGCATACAAATTGAGAACAGCCTGAGTAGATATACATATATGGAAAGTTTCTTGAAGCAATTACATGGCCAATGGAACTTTACAAATTAAAGAGGGTTCTTTGGTAGAAGATGCTGTGGCCACTCCACAATCAATCAATTAATCAACAAGCATTTATTAAGTACCTACTATGTGTTGAACCTTACAAGACAATCCAGTGTAAATGGAAAGTACCCAAAAAACCCAACCTAAATCCTCTTCGTGATTTTCATGACCAAGATGGGACACAAAGAAGTATTGATTATGGGTGCGGAATGTTGTATCTGCCATTAGACTTTAGCTGGTTTTGCTAATTTTTTTTCTTTTTCTTTTTATTCTTTGTCACAAGGAAGGTTCTCTAGGTAAAGGAGAAGAAATATATTCCAAAATGAAGATGATATAAAAACAAAAGATATAAAAAATTTTTCATATTTATTAATCAATAAAAATAATTTTAATTTTTATTGATCAATACAATTTTAAATCATTAATTACTAATATGAACTTATCTTCTATGGCAGCAAAGCAAGAGTCATTTGATGAGAATAAGGGAAATGCTCATAAAACCAGCGAAATCCAAGAAATTGAGAAATATGTGCTCCAATGAAGAAAAAGTTACTTGAAGCTAAATATTATTCTGGAATTATAAATTTAGATTCCTCATTACAGGGCTTTAACAGCACCCAACATATTACCCAGCACAGAACTCAGGGAGGCCTTATAGCTTAAGAGTGACGCATAGTCAAGACAGTTAACTGAACTTCAGGAGTATGGGTAGGGTAGGAGTGGACAATGAATGTTCAACACATGACACTCCTTGGTTTTATCTCAGGGCAAGCCCTTCAGGGGATA